ACAGGCCCTGTCCAGGACGGCCGTCGGGATGGCTGTGGGCCAGCCCCAGTGTCTGCCCATCTCCCTGGCTCCTGGAGGAATTTTCCTTGACATGAGACAGAGCAGAGCAGGAGGCGGCAGGCAGGAAGGCAGGCGTCGCGGGGAGGAGGAGAGGAGGCAGACGGCAGCGGGCAGGCGGGCAGGCGGGCATGGGGAAGTCAAGTTCTCAGTGCCCTGTGCTGGGTCACATGTTGCCGTTGGCCATGGCTGAAGCCACACTTGGTGGAATGCCCAAGCCCTGTGCTTTGGGTTGTACCCATCCCCCTCAGCCAGTCATCTGGATGCCAGCCACCCTCTGCCCTGGGACCAGGGAGGAAGAAGGGCCTCGCCTGGGAAAGCTGCCAGCCCTGGGTGGGTTCGAGGCGAATGTAGGCCAGAAGGTGGGCAGGGCCCCCCGACTCTGCCCATAGATTCCTGGGGCCAGTCTTCAGAGCTGGGGACGAGTGTGTTCAGAAACACTTGGCCCCATTCTGCTTGTAAAGAGTCTAAAGTGAGAGATGGAAGGATCTGGGTGGGTTTGGGGGTGACCGTGGGGCTCTTGCATCTTCCGTCATTCAGGGAAGCCCCCTCCCCCATGAAAGGGTATCGACGAGGGCAAGACCTGCAGCCCTGTGAGTCCTCCCTGCATGGTGCGTGAACTCAGATTCCTTTGCAACCCAGCACTCGGGTCTGCTTCTGCCCATCAGAGGGCACCGGCAGGGAGAGGAATCATCCGTACCCCCGTACCTGGGCCTTCCCCTCCCTTCCTCAGAGCTTGCCAGCATGCTGACCTCTCTTCACCCTACAAAAGCAGTGTCCTCAAAACGCACATCCAGTGGGCCACCCTGCCCAAGCCCTTCACATTTCAAGGTGTGTGTGTGGATGTTCTCGGTGATCCTGTGCCTAAATCCAAAGGAATTCCACTCCAGTGGTTTATTCGAAGATGCTAGCAGGCTGGCACCAGAGAGATCTTAGCGCATTGCATCAGGGAAGATGGTTGCACGATTCCCTGGTGCCCCGTGCCACACCCGGCATGGGGTGGGCTCTTGGTAATCCTCTGTTGAGTGATGAATGCAAGGGCTCGGCTGCTGGAGACAACCCTCAAAGCCAAAGGCCGCTGCAGCTGTTCCAGCTACAAGCAAGGAAGCAAATTGGTGGGCACCTCAACCCTGAGCCCAGAGGGCGGGAACGGGCGCTGGACCCTGGCTTGGGAGGAGGAGGAGCCTATGCTCTCTGGCATCTTTCTGGCCGCCCCTCGGGGTGAAGTGTAATGTGCTTTGCTGTCGGACAGACCTAGGTCTAATCTGAGCACTAGCACCTCCCCACTGTGGAACCTGGGGCGGGCGGCTCCATTGCTCTGAGCCCATTTGCGCATTCTAAGGATCAAGCTCAGTGGTGAGGCGAAGGCACCATGGCCGGAGCCTGGCTCTCGGCGGTGGCTTTTCAGGGGTAGCGGGGCTTTGTCAGAAGGAATCTCATAAACACTGGGCTACTCCTGGTCCAGGAACAGGCTGGCCATTGCACATCATGCAGGGGATGGGCTCCAGGACTGGGCTCCATTTCCTTCTGTTCCCCGGCTGCAGGCCACGGGCCCTACGCAGGCAGCCTCCTTCAGCAGCAGGGGCCAAAGACCAGCAAAGCCCCCCGCCGCTGGGAAAGCGTTCTCTTTGGCTCGCCTAATTCCAGTGCCACCCTGCTGTGCTCCCTACCACCTGTGCCCTTCCTGGCGCTAACACCTCACATACCATAGCTGCCAGGGACTCTACTGCCTAAGGGAAGGGACATCTTCTTGCTCCATTCAGCCTGAAATCCAGCTTCCTGCTGGGTATGTAGTAGACACTCAATAAACATCTGCTGAACAAATGAACGAAAGAGCGTGAGACTTCAGCAGTAGGCCAATTTGTATTCCCCATGGTTCCGCTTGAGCCTTTAACGACGCGGCATCAACAAACTCTCTTTTCTCCCCAACCCACTTTCCTATGCATCCAGTTGAGTTTCCTGGAATAAACAAAGTGCTCCCTTAGTCCCCAGGGTGGGGCTGATTTGTCATTTTTCTAAGTGGAAAATAATGTGTATTTGCTGTGAAAAAGGATGTGACTGTTACAGGGGAAAGAAACAGAGAGGCCGAAAGAAAAGATGGTAAAAGCATCTGTATTCTCATCAGCCTGGATCATCGCTGTTGGCAGCCTGGTGGGTGGCCTTCGGGTCTTTGTGGCTGTGTGTGTGCGTGTGTGTGTGTGTGTGTGTGTGTGCACGTGTGTTTGGATCTGCGTATTTTCAACCTGCATTTTCACTCATTACTGCTTTATAAACTTTCTTTTCTTTCTCTCTCTCTCTCTCTCTTTCCCTCCCTCCCGCCCTTCCTTCCTCTCTTTCTCTCTTTCTTTTTTGAGACAGTCTCGCTCTGTCACCTAGGCTGGAGTGCTACGGCGTGATCTCTGCTCACTGCAATCTCCGCCTCCTGAGTTCAAGCAATTCTTCTGCCTCAGCCTTGTGAGTAGCTGGGATTACAGGTGCACCCCGCCACACCACATACTAATTTTTGTATTTTTTAGTAGAGACAGGGTTTTACCACGTTGGCCAGGCTGGTCTTGAACTCCTGACCCCAAGTGATCCACCTGTCTCGGCCTCCTAAAGTGTTGGGATTACAGGCGTCCTGATAATCAACCACCTCGTTTCTCTAGTTTCCATCATGTGGACGCACTATAATTGTTTGTTTGTTTTTTTTCTTTTTTTTGAGATGGAGTTTTACTCTGTCACCCAGGCTGAAGTGCAGTGGTGCTATTTCAGTTCACTGGAACTTCCGCCTCCCGGGTGCAAGCAATTCTCCTGCCTCAGCCTCTGGAGTAGCTGGGATTACAGGCCCATGCCAGCACGCCTAGGTAATTTTTGTATTTTTAGTAAAGACAAGGTTTCACCATGTTGGCCAGGCTGGTCTTGAACTCCTGACCTCAGGCGATCTGCCCACCTCAGCTTCCCAAAGGGCTGGGATTACAGGTGTGAGCCACCTCGCCCAGCCGTGTATTTCATTAGGCCGTCTTTCTTCCCGAACGTCAGTGTTTCTTAACCTTGGTGAACGGAGGCAGTTGCTTTGTGTCTTTGAAGCAGTAGCCTTTCTGAGTGCAGGTAAGAGGAGCATTTCTGGGGAAGACAGCCACATGGCCGCACCGGGAGTCAGCATTCTGGTGACAGTGACGTCCCTTGGATCCCTGCATCCCCACCTGGAGTTAGAGAGAGATTTGGACAGACCTGTGGCTGTGGCATGTGTTTGGATGATGGCTCTGTACTTGGGACTGGTTGGAGGTGAGGGGAGCTTTCGAGCCCTGTTGAGAATTAGACACCGGATGCTGGTGACACCCGAGAAATGAGATGGGGATCCCGTGTCCCAGGGGCTTGGAGTCATGGGGATGGCCCGGGAAACCAGCGACCGTAGACTGGTTCTGTCCGGATGTGGGGGAGGGGCACCTACAGCATGCCCCGGGTCTGGGCAACTTCCAGGAGGAGGTGGCCTCAGGCTGCGTTCTGGAGAATACACGGATGGAGAGGGTGGAGGAGAAATGGGCATCCGGACAGAGGAAAGAGCTTGTGTCAGAGGACGAGACCCCAGGTGTCACCTGTTAGGGACTGAGCGGCTCCAGAGGGCTGGAGTGAAGGGGACCCAGGTGGGGTGGGGAAGGGCCAGATGGAAATGCTCAGGGCTTACTGCCTCCTTTATTGGCATGGGAAGCCCTTGAAGCCGGGGGTGGCATTCAGATTTGCATTTTTCAAAGCTGCCTCTGGAAGCAGTGTGGGGGACAGATGGGAGGCAGAAAAGCAGCCAGGGCTGGGGGAGAAGTGATGGAGAGGAGAGGAGGCATGCAGGGTTGGCAATGGATGAGCTGTGGCGGGGGCAAGGAAGGTGGCATCCAAGTGGCTCACAGGCTTCTGGCCCAGGACCCTGCGTGATGGCGCGCATAGCTTTCACCAAGCCGCAAGCCGCAGGAGGAGAAGCCAGTGTGGTGAGGGTGGGGGAGAAGGGGGTGAGTTAATTGGGGGGTTAAAAGTCTTAGGGCAGAGCAGGTGGGTGCGGTGGCTCACGCCTGTAATCCCAGCACTTTGGGAGGCTGAGGCGGGTGGATCACCTGAGATTACGAGTTTGAGACCAGCCTGGCCAACATGGCAAAACCTCGTTTCTACCAAAAATGCAAAAATTAGCTGGGCATGGTGGTGGGCACCTGTAATCCCAGCTGCCTGGAAGGCTGAGACAGGAGAATAGCTTGACCCTGGGAGGCGCAGGTTGCAGTGAGCCGAGATCGCGCCATTGTGCTCCAGCCTGGGTGACAAGAGCAAAACTCAGTCTCAGAAACAAAAACAAAGAAAAAACGTCTTACAGCAGAGCAAAGAGGAGGCGTTCAGCAGATGATCACATATGCAATTGCCTGTGTGGCTCTAGACCAGTGCTGCCCAGCAGACCCTTCAGCCGTGATGCAAGGTGCGGAGAGCTGCGCTGTTATGGCCGCTGCTAGCCATGTGAGCATGTAAAACGTGGCTCCTGTGGCTGAGAACTGGATGTTCCATTTTGTTTAACTGAAATAGCCCCATGTGTCTTGTAGCCACGGTATTGACTTGAACATTTGCAAGCCCAGGTCTCAGCAGCCAGGTCAGTGGTGGGGACGTGGACTAGGGCATTGTCAGCTGAAGACGTGGTGTGGACCAACACAGGCAGAAAGAGGTCAGGCGCGGTGGCTTCAAGCTGATAATCCTACCCGCTTTGGGAGGCCAAGGCTGGAGGATTGCTTGAGACTAGCCTGGGAAACGTAGTGAGATCCTGTCTCTAAAAAAAAAAAAAATTTTAAATAAGCTGGATGTGGTGGCACATGCTTGTAGCTCCAGCTACCCGGGAGGCTGAGCTGGGAGGATCACTTGGGCCCAGGGGTTTGAAGCTGCAGTGAGCCGTGACTGTACCACTGCACTCCAACCTGGGTGACAGAAGGAGACCCTGTCTCCAAAATAAATAACTGTAGGAGAGTTAGGCACAAGAGGAGCTGAGGGCCAAGGAACAGCCTGGGAGAGCACCTGTCTTTGGGGGTTGATCAGGAAGGCTGAACACTGGGAGACAGTGTGGGCCACACCCACGGCTGAAGAAGAGGGCAGTCAACATTGGCAGATGCTGAAAGTGTGCACGGAAGCAGAGTGCAGAAGGGTGTTGGGTGCCATGAGGGTCCTGGGTGATCGCAGCTGAGCAGTCGGGGCAGGACCAGGCGAGAGGGGGACCAGTGAGACGATGTGATGAATTCTATTCCTGACCCAGATGCCCTAGGCTTGGGACAAAGCTCCATCTTATGCCAGGTTTCCTCAGGAGCTGCCTGGAAAATGCTGGGGCTGGTCCAGGCCCCAGACAACCCAAGACATCCGTGCTGCGTGTACAGGGCTGGGTGCGGTGGGGCCCCAGGCCATAGAATTCCCAGGTGCTTTCCACCGTCTGTCTTGGGAGTGGTCAGCCCCCGGGGGCGTCCCCGCTGCTGGTGCTGGGGAAGCGGGCGGTGGGCCAGGCCACCTGCAGAGTGGGCACAGGGCAGCCGTCGGTGCCTCTTCTCTCTCACACCATTCTCAAAGCAGGGGCAAGCCTGCCGCCCGAGACTTTCCAGCTGGGAGGTGAGCTGAGGACAGCTGCCCTACTCAAGGAAGTCTTTGTTTCCACTGGGACTGAATGGAGCTCTGGAGGCTGGGCTGGCCGAGTGCCCCGAGAGCCCGATGCCTGGTGGCTCACGCGGCCTCCTTGTTTGCAGGGCCTGGGCAAAAATTTACTCTGAGTCCCACTCTTCGCTCCAGGTGAGTCCTTCCCGGTCAAGGTGCAGTTGGTCCAAGATGGGAGGGAGATGCTTTAGGATGGGAGACTTCTTGGCCTCTCTTCTCTTTTTCGTCCCAAGCCAGGCCTCAGTCCCATCCAGGGAAGAGGAAACCTTTGCTAATTAACTAGCAAGTAGCCCTGGAAGAACCTGTATTCATCCCTGGACTTGGGCTTTGGAAGTACCAGATAAACACCTGAGCCTTAAAAAACAAACCGTCAGCCAGGTACAGTGGCTCAAGCCTGTAATCCTAGCACTTTGGGAGGCTGAGGCGGGTGGATCACGAGGTCAAGAGATCGAGACCATCCTGGTCAACATGGTGAAACTCCGTCTCTACTAAAAATACAAAAAAATTAGCTGGGCATGGTGGTGCACGCCTGTAATCCCAGCTACTCAGGAGGCTGAGGCAGGAGAATTGCCTGAGCCCAGGAGGCGGAGGTGGCGGTGAGCCGAGATCGCGCCATTGCACTCCAGCCTGGGTAACAAGAGCGAACGAAACTCCGTCTCAAAAAAAAAAAAAAAACCCCAAAAAACCAAACCGTCCTTCTGCAAGACAGAGGGCAGCTTTTTGGAAAAGGGAGAGAGGGAGAGATTTCGAGAGGAGATGGGCCCCAGCACCCTGGCATCTCTCAGGAAAAGGGGCTGCTCGCCTCCACCTGGCAGACTTCCTTCCATAAGGGACCCCCAACCACCACGAGGTCGAGGGGAAGAGGGAGAGTCTGAGAACAGCAGGGAACATCAGCCATGCGGCGGGCGTCTAGAAGAGAGAAACACACCACATTCATCACAGGGGAGCCGCTCTGCCCCCTCCTGCCCATCACTGGAGGACTTTGGTAGGTGGGCAGTTAGTGTGACAAATGGCTTCTGGAAGCAGGGGAAAGGGCTCTAAGCAGATGTCACCTGTCAGAAGGACACCCTGATGGGGCACCCTCCTCTTTCTTGGCACTCCAATACCTGAATCCTCTTGCAACAACAGGAGGGCTCTATGTGTCTCAACAGAATTTTACCGGACGCCAGAGCCGACGGGGAGTGGACTCAGGGCTTCTGTTCTGGTTGGGAGGATTCTGGGGTGTTCCAAAGGTGGCAGAAGCTGGGGTGGCACAAAGGGGTGGTGATGGCCGAGGGGCGGTTGATGCTGTGTAGAAACCAGGAGTGTTTGGGTGCTGGGCTGAATCATATACATACATTTTTTTAAGAGAGAGTCTCACTCTGTCGCCCAGGCTGGAGTGGAGGGGCACAATTTCGGCTCACTGCAACCTCTGCCTCCCGGGTTTAAGAGGTTCTCCTGCCTCAGCCTCTTGAGTAGCTGGGACTACAGGCATGTACCATCATGCCTAACTTCTGTATTTTTAGTAGAGACAGGGTTTCACCATGTTGGTCAGACTGGTCTTGAATTCCTGACCCCATGATCTGCCCGCCTCAGCCTCTCAAAGTGCTGGGATTACAGGCGTGAACCACTGAGCTTGGCCTTTTTTTTTTTTTTTTTTAAATTTTTATTTATTTATTTATTTATTTATTTGAGACGGAGTTTCGCTCTTGTTACCCAGGCTGGAGTGCAATGGCGCGATCTCGGCTCACTGTAACCTCCGCCTCCTGGGTTCAGGCAATTCTCCTGCCTCAGCCTTCTGAGTAGCTGGGATTACAGGCATGCGCCACCATGCCCAGGTAATGTTTTATATTTTTAGTAGAGATGGGGTTTCACCATGTTGACCAGGATGGCCTCAATCTCTTGACCTTGTGATCCACCCGCCTCGGCCTCCCAAAGTGCTGGGATTACAGGCTTGAGCCACCATGCCCCACCTTTTTTTTTTTTTTTTTTTTTTTTTTTTTTTTTTTTTTTTTTTTTTAGATGGAGTCTCTCTGTCACCCAGGCTGGAGTGCAGTGGTGTGATCTTGGCTCATTGCAACCTCCACCTCTGAGATTCAAGTGATTCTCCTGCCTCAGCCTCCTGAGTAGCTGGGATTACAGAAACACACCACTGCACCCAGCTAATTTTTGTACTTTTAGTAGCGATGGTGTTTCACCATGTTGGGCAGGCTGGTCTTGAACTCCTGGCCTCAAGTGATCTGCCCACCTCACCCTCCCAAAGTGCTGGGATTCCAGGCGTCAGCCACTGCACCCAGCCTGAATTCGATTTTTGAACTGGAAACCACTAGGTGTGGATACAATTTTAGGCCAAGCGTCCTTGGGAGATGGACGTAATATTTTGGGGGCAATGTCCAGACTCTGGAAAAGCCAGATGAAGACGCTTGTCTTGGGGGAGCTGAGGTCTGGGGGACAGTGGAGCCCCTGGAGAGCATCTGATGCAGGCGCAGGGCAGAAGGGAGGGTTGATGTCTGGAGCTATTCAAGCTGGGGATGGGTGAGATGCAGATGGGAGAGAGGAAAGGGTCTAAATGACTCCCAGATTCCTGGCCTGCTGTTTGTCCGGTTCCTGCTTCCTCCCTGATGACTTTATTTTAATCTAGAACAGAGCTGTCCAACGGAACTTTCTGCAATGATTGCAAGGTTCTATCCTGCACAATATGGTAACCACTGGCTACATCTGGATTTTTATTTTTATTTTTTTGAGACAGGTTCTTGCTCTGCTGCCCAGGCTAGGGTGCAGTGGCACGGTTGTGGCTCACTGCAGCCTCAACCTCCTGAGATCAATCAGTTCTCCTGCCTCGGCCTCCAGAGTAGCTGGGACTACAGGCACCACCATGCCCGGCTAATTTTTGCATTTTTTTTAGAGATGGGGATTGATATATTGCCCAGGCTGGTCTTGAACTCCTGGGCTCAAGCGATGCTCCCGCCTTGGCCTTCCAAGGTGCTGGGATTACAGATATGAACCACTGTGCCTGGCCTATGTGTATTAATAGTTATCGAACGCTTGAAATGTGGCTACTGTAGCTGAGGAACTGAATTTTGAATTTTCTTTCATTTTAATTAACGTGCATTTAAATAGCCACACATAGCAGCCACTGTACTGGGCGGCACAGGCCTAGAACATTACCCGCTTAGCATTTAGATTCAGCATGTGCGGCTTGTCTTGAGCTATAATTGGGTGCGTGTCTGTTTCCTTCACTAGCCTGTTATATTCCTGAGGTCAGGGAATAGATTTAATTTATGGTTGAATCACTTCCTCCCAGGCTCTTACACAATGCCATGCAAATCACGGGCATTCAGTCAACCCAGCCTGTGTTCGACTGTCAGCGGAGAGGGCAGCTTGGACTTGTCTGCCAAGGCTCCTTCCAATTCAGGGAGATTACAGGCTTGCCTCTCAGAGCAGCTGCTCACCTGATGAGGATTAAAGAAAAAGGAAAACACTGCTTACAGAATGCTTTTGTCAAAAGGCCCTGCGCTGGGTGGAGCATCAGGGCAAAACCCAGCCTCACGGTCCCCGAGTCCAGGTGTCCACTGTCAGCACACAAGCGTGACAGCGTGGAGGTGGGGCAAAAATATAACAGGACCCATTTAGTTGAGATAGAGTCTTGCTCTGTTGCCCAGGCTGCAGTGCAGTGATGTGATTTTCAAGGCTCACTGTAGCCTCTGCCTCCTGGGTTCAAGCGATTCTCCTGCCTCAGCCTCCAGAGTAGCTGAGATTACAGGTGTGCGCCAACACGTCTGGCTAATTTTTTTGTGTTTTTATTTTTGAGATGGAGTCTCACTCTGTCGCCAGGCTGGAGTGCAGTGGCGCGATCTAGGCTCACTGCAACCTCTGACTCCCTGGTTCAAGTGATTTTCCTGCTTCAGCCTCCTGGGTAGCTGGGATTACAGGCACGTGCTACCACATCCAGCTAATTTTTGTATTTTTACTGGAGACGGGGTTTCACCATGTTGGCCAGGATGGTCTCGATCTCCTGACCTTGTGATCTGCCAGCCTCGGCCTCCCAAAGTGTTGGGATTACAGGTGTGAGCCACCGCGCTCGGCCCAATTTGAAACAAATTCAAGGAACCGTCAACTTGTGGGTGACGACTGCCTCCTTAAAGAATCTACCACAGAGCCACGAGGCCTGTGAAGGGATAAAAATTATTGCTGGGCGCAGTGGCTCACGCCTGTAATCCCAGCACTTTGGGAGGCCAAGGCGGGTGGATCACGAGGTCAGGAGATCGAGACCATCCTGGTCAACATGGTGAAACCCCGTCTCTACTAAAAATACAAAAAATTAGCTGGGCATGGTGGCACGTGCCTGTAATCCCAGCTACTCAGGAGGCTGAGGCAGGAGAATTGCCTGAACCCAGGAGGCGGAGGTTGCGGTGAGCCGAGATCGCGCCATTGCACTCCAGCCTGGGTAACAAGAGCGAAACTCCGTCTCAAAAAAAAAAAAAAAAAAAAATTATTATTGCCACAGGGTTTCTGTTGCCCAGGCTGGAGCGCAGTGGTGCGATCGTGGCTTACTGAAGCCTTGATCTTTTGGACTCAGGTGATCCTCCTACCTCAGCCTCTTGAGCAGCTGGGACTGCAGGAGCACCCCACCATGCCTCACTAATTTTTGTGTTTTTGGTAGAGATGTGGTTTGCCATGTTGCTCAGGCTGGTCTTGAACTCCTAGGCTCGAGCAATCCACCTACCTTGGCCTCCCAAAGTGCTGGGGTGACAGGTGTGAGCCACCACACAGGACCAAGGGATACAAATTGCGGACAAGGAAGTGTCCTCAGGCTTCCTGTCCTCCTCCACGTCCTGCGTTCGGCCTGATTTCTCTTTTTCTGCCTCCCTCCTCCTCGAAAGGGGAATGTGTTCTTGTCGGGGAGGAGGTCAGGTGTAGGTGGATGGGTGGGGCTGGGGAATGGGCGCTGAAGAGCTGCTGGTCCTCAGGGGCGTGGAGGGAGGAAAATGGCCGCCAAATTACCACGGAGATTGGCTCTTAGTCACAGGATTTGGGAAGGGCAAGTCAAGTGCTTGAGTCACACTGGAATTGTCTTCAGTTGCCTTGACTGTGAGGCCGCCTGGAGACAGGGCCACGTGGGTCTGGATTCACGTGGGTTACACACCACTGGTCCAGACGTGCTCACGGCACTTCCCTGGAAGCGTAACACGTTCCTCCAGGCAGCCTCCCCGGGGACACGGCCTCCCCACTGTAGGGAGGTTTCTGCTGGAAATCACTAACTGTGTTCTGGGGCCAAGTTTGGTTAGATGTTGGGCAATCATGTTTCTGCCCAAAAGTGACTAAAATGATCATAATGTTATGAGGCTGGCCTTGCCTTGGGATTTGGTAAAATGGTTTTTAAGATCTTTTCAAGAAGGAAAGGTTTCAGTCTGGGTTTGCTCTGACTCCAAACAGGAGGCTCTTGAGGAGAGACTGCGAAGGCTGCCCTCGGCCGATCAGCCCGAGCCTGGGACTCTCTGCTGCTTCCTCAGCCCCGCCCCACCCCGGGGGACAGCCTCATCCCCAACCCCACAGCACCCTGGGCCCCATCTCTGCTGACCACGGTGTGGAAAATCCTTTTGTTAGACTAGACAGAGATACACATTAAAAAAAAAAAAAAAAAAAAAAAAAAGGCTGGTTCTTAGATTCTTATCGAGGGGCAATTCTGCCCCCAAGGGACAGGCATATGACGATGTTTGGAGACATTCAGCTAGAGGCGGTGGTGCTAACGGCAGCTGTGGGTAGGGTCCAGGGTTACTGCAAGCATCCTGCAGCACACAGGCTAGCCCCCCACCACAGGGGATTCTCTAGGCCCAAACATCCATGGTGCTAGGGTTGGCCGGGTGCAGTGGCAAACAGCTGTAATCCCAGCACATTGGGAGAATGAAGCGGTGAGGTCAGAAGTTCAAGAGCAGCCTGGCCAACATGGCGAAACCCTGTCTTTACTAAAAATACAAAAATTAGCTGGGTGTGGTGGTGTGTGCCTGTAATCCCAGCTCCTAGTGAGACTGAGGCAGGAGAATAACTTGAACCCAGGAGGTGGAGGTTGCAGTGAGCCAAGATCATGCCACTGCACTCCAGCCTGGGTGGGCAACAGAATGAGATTCCATCTCAAAAAAAAAAAAAAAAGACGACAAGAAAACCCTCAATGGTACCAGGGTCGAGAAACCCTAAAGTACAATAATCTAAGGTAGTTTTTTTAATGCCTTTTATAGTTACTTTCCAACTTATCTGAAATAAATGTGTGTATATACATATATATGTGCACATATGTATATATATGTAAATATGCATATATATCTATAATTTGGGATTCAGAAAAAAGTGTTTAAGGAAAGGAAAACCAGGCCAGGTGCGGTGGCTCACTTATAATCCCAGCACTTTGGGAGGCCGAGGCGGATGGATCACAAGGTCAAGAGATCGAGAGCATCCTGGTCAACATGGTGAAACCCCGTCTCTACTAAAAATACAAAAATTAGCTGGGCATGGTGGCGCGTGCCTGTAATCCCAGCTACTCAGGAGGCTGAGGCAGGAGAATTGCTTGAATCCAGGAGGCAGAGGTTGCAGTGAGCCGAGATCGTGCCTTTGCACTCCAGCCTGGGTAACAAGAGCGAAACTCCGTCTCAAAAAAAAAAAAAAAAAAAAAAAAAAGGAAAATCTCTTTTCCTTTTGACTGCTACAAATTTGCCACTTAAAAGGAAAAAAACAGAGTAATTATTAAGGCGCCAAGGAGAAACAGAGGAAATACAGAAATAGAGAAATAAACAAATTTAGAGAATTCACTCTGACAAATATTTGTTGAGCACCAGTGACGTTCAGGGTGCTCAGGATGCTTGGCTGGGGGACGTCCCAGCTCTGGAGGAGGTGACCCATGGTATGCTGAGTAGACACAGGCCCGACAAACTCTCTGCAGTATGAGACAATAGGAAAAGCAAAACTATGGCCCCTGCCTGTAATCCCAGCACTTTGGGAGGCCAAGGCGGGTGGATTGCTTGAGCTCAGGAGTTTGAGACCAGCCTGGGCAACACAGTGAAACCCTATCTTTACAAAACAACCCCCATAACAGCACACGGGGCATGGTGGCGATGCCTGTAGTCCCAGCTACTCGGGAGGCTTGAGGTGGGCAGATGGCTTGAGCCCGGAGGGTGGAGGCTGCATTGAGGCGGAGGGAGACCCTGTATCAAAAAAGAAAACTCAAACAGGATGGAGAGTTTTTTCCCAGTTGAGAAGTCTCCAGCCTGGGTGACAGAGCGAAACTCCATCTCAGCAAAAACCCCCTAATGCCGTCTCCCCCAGGCTCCACAGCCCCCGAGCGATGGCGTGCCTGGAAGATGTTCCTGGCTCCCCGACGTGAGTTAGATGTTGTGGTCACCTGGGTGTGTCATGTGGGTGGAGGAGGAAATCTGTCTCAGGATTTTAACTTCCCTTAAACATGAAAGGAGCCAGAGTCTGGCCCAGGGCCTTTGGAGATAAGCCTTTGCTTTCACTGTTTGCATCTCAAGAAAGAGCTGGAGTCCACGTCGGCCTGGCAGCTGGGAGCGCGGGACACTTCTCACCCCCTTTCTCACTGGGCAGCTGTGAGGGGGAATGAGGTGTTGCCGCAGGGCTTGCAACTTTTTGAGTTACATGTTTTGGTGAACGAAGAGAGGTTAGAGTTGACCACATCGCCAGCCCCACGGAGGGGAGGTTTTCGGGCCACCTGAAATGGCTGAGCATGGGACTCCTGATGCCAGAGTCCTGGGCCAGGGGGCGAGCTGCTCAGAGGGTGGCAGGTGGGTGTTTGCCTAATGTGATCCCACGTACCGCCCCTCACTAGCTGCCTGGACTCCCCATCCCCACGAGCACCCCTTCCTAGAAGGACTGTCCCAATCCTGGATGAAGAGGGTCCTGGCTCAAGTTTTTGCCAAAAGCTCAGGGAGTGAGAGACATGCCGTTGGCTTCCTGGAAGGATGACTGCTCTCCGGGGCTGGGCTTCACACATCCCTAAAGTAGATGCCACGGACACTGGCTGATATGCTGCCTGGTGGCCAGAAAGCAGCTTGGCACCGCCTTCCTACCCACCTGCCCACCGGTGAAGGACCCGGTCAATGAGGCAGCATTGCTTTGAGTCAAGGGATGGAGATCAAAGCTTGCTTGGGCTTTTTCTTGCTGTCCTAAGAAGGGTGGTAAACAATTGTCGGTGGGGCCAGCAGCTGATGGACTCTCCTTCCGGAGAGGCTGGGTGGGCAGAGACAGCACCTTGCTCAGCAGCACTCAATGCCAGCCTGACTGCCTGAGGCTCTGGGGCAGAGCGTGTGTGCACACGTGAAGGAATGTGTACATGTGAGTACATGTGTGCATGAGTGGATGTGCATGCATGTGAACACGTTGAGTGTGTGCGTGAATGTGAGCATGCATGTGTGCATGTGATGTGGGTATGCGTAGATGTGAGTGTGCATGTATGTGCATATGATTGTGTGCATGTGTGTGGATTGCATGCATGTTTTGTGTGCATGTGTGGATTACATGTGTGTATGTAAATATATGCATGTGTGTGGATTGCATGTGTGTACATGAATGTGTGGATTGCATGTGAGTGCATGTGATGTGGGTATGAGTGTCCATGTAAGTATGCATGTGTGAGTGTGCATGTGTAGATTGCATGTGACTGCATGTGTGGATTACATGTGTGAGCATGTACGTGTGTTTGTTGTAAACGTGGGTGCATGTGGGTTGCATGTGTGTGCATGTGGTGTGGGTATGTGTGCACGTGTGTGCATGTGTCGAGAATGCATGTATGTGGATTGCATGTGTATTGAGTGTGCATGTGAGTGCATGGGTTGCATGAGTGCATGTGATGTGGGGATGTGTGCATGTGTGCACATATGTGCACATGTGTGTGGATTTTGTGTTGAGACTGCATGTGAGTGTGCATGTGTGGATTGCATGTATGTGTGTGCATGTGTTGAGAATGTGTGTGGATTGTGTTGCACACATGTGAATGTATGGGTTGCATGTGTGTATGTGAATGTCTGGGAATATGTGTGCATGTGTGTGGATTGCATGTGTTGAGTGTGTGCCTGTGTGGATTGCATGCATGTGAATGTGTGTACATGTGTGTGGATTGCATGTGTTGAGTGTGCCTGTGTGTGGATTGCATGTATGTGCATGTGTGCATGTGTGTGGATGGCATGTGTTGAATGTGCCTGTGTGTGGATTGCATGTATATGTGTCCATATAAGTGTGTGGATCGCATGTGTTGTGCCTGTGTGGATTGCATGTATGTGAATGTGTGTGCATGTGTGTGGATGGCATGTGTTGAGCATGCCTGTGTGTGGATTGCATGTATGTGAATGTGTGCATATAAGTGTGTGGACTGCATGTGTGTTGAGTGTGTGCCTGTGTGTAGATTGTATGTTGTGTGCCTGTGTGTGGATTGCATGTATGTGAATGTGTGCATGTGTGTGGATTGCATGCGTTGAGTGTGAGCGTGTGGATTGCATGTATGTTGTGTGCCTGTGTGTGGATTGCATGTATGTGAATGTGTGCATGTGTGTGGATTGCATGTGTTGGGTGTGTGTGGATTGCATGTATGTTGTGTGCCTGTGTGTGGATTGCATGTATGTGAATGTGTGCACGTGTGGATTCCATATGTGTTGTGTGCATGTGGATTGCATGCATGTGTGCCTGTCTGCGGATCGCATGTATGTGAATGTGTGTGCATGAGCGTGTGTGCACATGTATTGAGAGTGCGTGTGTGCCTGCATGGGCTTGAGAGTGGGTGAGTGTGTGTGAGTGGGGTTGTCCTCCCAGAAGCTGTGTAGCTGCAGCACTTCCCACAGCATAGTGAGGGGCTGGGAGAGCACCTCCGATTTCCAGGCTGTTCCTCGTGCAGCTCCTTCCTAACTTGGCGCCTTCCCCCTGTGTTTCTTTCCCACCAGGGCCCAGTAGGAAGATGGGCTCCCGTGGACAGGGACTCTTGCTGGCATGCTGCCTGCTCCTGGCCTTTGCCTGTGGCCCGGTCCTGAGCCGTGTGCCCCATGACCAGCGGGACCAGCAGGCGTGGGAGGGGAATGAGGAGCTGCCGTCCCCGCCGGACCATGCCGAGAGGTGAGGTAGTAGCGGGAGCTCCGGCTCTGGCCAGCCTGAGCCTGGGGTTCAGGGCCTGCAGGGGCTGGTTCACTGTGAGATGTGAAGGTGAGAAAGCCGGAGCTGAGCTGAGGCGTGGCCCTGCTGGCGGCGGGTCCTGAGGGACGGACGAGCCCTTTCTCCTTTCGGTGGCTTGGGCACCTCCCGTGAAGCTGTGGACAGCGATCCAGCCTCACCCCAAGCCTAAAGGAGCGGGGTCTGCCATTGGCTTTGCAGCCACAGCGGATGTCCCAAGTAAGGAGCAGGCCAGGCTCTCAACCCGCAATCCAGTTTCTCTTGTTCCCACGCTGTCCATTGAGAATGTCTGCCAGGGTTCTAGACAGCACTCGGAGGCAGGGAGAGGTGACAAGCGGCCTTAGGAGAGATGCTGGCCCAAGAGCTGGTGTCTGCTGCCCATGCGCCTCACAGACTGCAGGACAGGAGAGGCCAGGGGGACTGGGCAGGCCAAGTACTGGCTTCCCTTGAGAGGTTTGGAGGACTCTGGCTGGCATCCGCCTTCACGTCTGCAACCTGCAATGGCAGAGACCGCAGCTGACCTGGGATGTTTCCTCGGGAAGCCCGGAGTGCTTCAGCAAATGCTGCACATCCGGCACGAGGTCCTAGAGACCCGGGGAAGCTCGAGCCTGGCTTGGAGCCTCTTCGTTATTTTGAGCACTGGCCCGTCTTGATACCTGAGGCTTCGGGCTAACTTTAGTGTACAATAGAATCGGCGGGACTTGAGGCTGAGTCACAGCATTCTGTCCTTTCTTCCTCTCCCTCCTCTTTCTTTGATTGAGCTCCTCCTATCAGGCCACCCCCAGGCACGGTGGGGGGACACACGAGTGGCAGTCCTGGCCTCCAGGAGCTCTGAGACTGAGAGGGAGACAGATCCATGAGAGACGGGCAGCGTGGCAGGCTCTGTAGTAGGGGCGCACCCGTGACGCTGGGGGCAGCAGAGGGAGAGGCAGGACCCAGGAAGACTAAGAGGAGGGAACTAGGTCTGGAAGGGCACCTGGGGAGGGGAAAGCCACCTGGGAGCCAGAACGACGGGTGCAGAGGCATGGCTGGCAGGGTTTGTCGGGCTGGTGGGTGGTTTGGGATGGCGAGACCCAGCGCTGGAGGCTGGAGGCAGCTGGGTCCAGCTGGGGAGGGCTTCGCCTGAACTTAGTCCTAGAGAGAACGAGAGGAGTCATGGGCAAGCTGAAATTGGACGGTGTTCTCGAAAGAATGCCTGAGGGAGGCAGCAGAGAGGATGCACTGGTGCGGGGAGGGACAGATTCCAAGCAAGAGTCAAAATGGCAGTGGTACATCAGAGACGATGAGGGCCCTGGGCTCGGGTCTGGAGGTGCCTCGAGGCTGGGAACCCAGGACTCTGCTGAAGGTTGCAGGGGGTGGGGGTAGGAGACACTGAAGTCTCCACCCTGGGTACCCACTGTTGATGCCAGGAATAGAGCTCAGGAAGAGAAGGTTCCGGAGGTGATGGGACGGGGACGGGGCTTCCGTTTTGCACAAATGACGTTCATCTCCAGATGGAGACTTCTGGTGAGAAGTTTGAAGTCAAGGTCTGGGGTTTAGGAGAGAGGTAGGGGTGAGCTGTCCGTCTGGGAGCCCTGGCTTATGGGTGGGTGGCTGAACTTGGGGCACAGAGATCCATTTCCTGGATAGTCTGGGGTGTAAACGTGGAAGCAGTGTTAGATAAGGAGCTGGTCCATCGAGGGGGACTTTGCTGCCCCCATGGGTCTGTGCGGCTCCACAGCCTGGGCCAGAAGAGCCTCAAGCCAGACCACGTGCAATGCCACGGGGGGCTGCAAGGTGGCGGCAGGGAGCCGCCGCCATCCATCCTGCCCACGGGCCGGTCCTTCCAAAGTCAGGCTGGGAACATTGCAGTCTCCAGCGGCTGCCGCCGAGAGGAATCCTAAAGATCCAGTTGAACCGTCTCATTTACAGACGAGTCAGCTTCGTACGTTATTTGCTAGCATCACGGATATATGATAGGGAGTCCCGGCATTGTCTTACATCACCCAAAGATCCCCTCCTAGGGGTGTGGATTTCTCCTGAGCAGCCCGACTTGAATGGCGCACACTGGTGTGTTTCCAGGACTGTCATTACCTTTAGCAAAGGGCGTGGGGCGGGGCGCTCATTCTGTAGGAGGACCCAGGACCCCGTAGCATGGGCCGTGATCCCACCAGCATGAACATAGAGCCTGTGGGCCCAGGGGAGAGGTGGAGGAGGCAGGTCAGGCATGCCAGACTCACTGGTGGCAGGAGAGAGAAGCGTTTCGAGGCCCGAGAGTTCCTGACTTTCACTGTGATGATTTATTCCCTCAGGGCCGAACAACATGAAAGATACAGCCCCAGCCGGGGCGAGGGGCTCCCGGCTTCCCAGTGTTTGCGCTGCTGCGACCCCGGGACCTCCATGTACCCGGCGACGGCAGTGCCCCAGATCAATATCACCATCTTGAAAGGTCAGACGACTGCAAAGACAAGCACAGGGGTGACTGGGTGGCTTCGTGCCAATCTGGAGGGAGGGATGGAGTCGTTGGGGTGGGGCTGGGCTGAGCAGAGTGGCTCCCTCGGGACAGGGAGCAGAGGCAGGCAGGCTGTCATCTAGAGGGAAGGCACAGGAAATTCTGATTTTGAGGCTCTGGCCTCTCTCCAGGAGGAGGGATTGGAAAGGGGCCCGCAGGGCCGGGAGCATGAGAAGGAGCCCAGAGGCTGCTCAGGACCTCGTCCCTCCACTTGTGTTTAGATGCCAGGCTTCTATACCCTTTGATTTGGGGTTCGGTACCCCCAGCCTGCATACTGAAATGCCACCCGCTCGCCTTCACCCTGCAGATGGCAGATAACCCTGCACAGCCCATGAAATGTAACTGGGAACACTTGCCACCTAGACCCTGAGTCGAGCCCCGACAGCTGCGGTTCATTTGCTCAGAGCGAGCGTGGGTCTGGCTGCAGAGACCATTGCTTTTGGACCAACCTGTATGTTCCTTTTTTTTTTTTTTTTGGCCAGTGCTTTCCAGAAGGAAAAAAAATTACTGCTTCTGAGTGAAAATAGAACAGTCGTTGAGGTGGAGTCTGTTTGCTTGGCCAGTTTGGGAATCCAAATACCCCTGTGCTGGCATGGGAAGCCACCTGTGGCAGGGGGGCTGGGGCCAGGTGCGAAGCTTCTGCCGGGTCAGGGCTGCGAGGACGAATCGGGACTGCGCCAGGGGCCACAGCGTGAAGAGCCAAGGCTCAGGACGCCACCATTAACGGTACGTGTTTTCCTGTCCCTTTTAGGCGAGAAGGGGGACCGCGGAGATCGAGGTCTTCAAGGAAAATACGGCAAGACAGGCTCAGCAGGGGCCAGGGGCCACACTGGACCCAAAGGGCAGAAGGGCTCCATGGGGGCCCCCGGGGAGCGGTGCAAGAGCCACTACGCCGCCTTCTCGGTGGGCCGGAAGAAACCCATGCACAGCAACCACTACTACCAGACGGTGATCTTCGACACGGAGTTCGTCAACCTCTACGGCCACTTCAACATGTTCACCGGCAAGTTCTACTGCTACGTGCCCGGCATCTACTTCTTCAGCCTCAACGTGCACACCTGGAACCAGAAGGAGACGTACCTGCACATCATGAAGAACGAGGAGGAGGTGGTGATCCTGTTCGCTCAGGTGGGCGACCGCAGCATCATGCAGAGCCAGAGCCTGATGCTGGAGCTGCAGGAGCAGGACCAGGTGTGGGTGCGCCTCTACAAGGGTGAGCGTGAGAACGCCATCTTCAGCGACGAGCTGGACACCTACATCATCTTCAGTGGCTACCTGGTCAAGCACGTCTCCGAGCCCTAGCTGGCCAGCCACCGCCTTTCCTCTGCCACCTTCTGCCCCTGCGCCGTGCGGACCCCACCGCCTCTTCCCCGACCCCTGGACTCCGCCTCCCGGCTTTGGCATTCAATGACACACCCTGCGCACTTGGAAAGCCGGAGCAGCCAGTGCTCCCAGATCCTGCAGCCTCTGGAGAGAGCTGATGGCAGATGACATCGCCAGGGCAGGGTGCCTGCAAGAACCCTCGGGGGCCTTCCGCTGCCCTCTCTGCAGGCATCCTCAAGTAACCCCACGCAGCGAGACGTGTGTGGCGGCAGGGTGTCCCAGGGTGTGGCACTGTGGCTCCAGTCCTTGGAAATAATTAGGCAAATTCTAAAGGTCTCGAAAGGAGCAAAGTAAAAATCATGGAGGACAAAGAAGAGCGCTGTTACTTTTGTCTTTCCAGCCAGCCTGCTGGCTCCTGAGAGAGGGGCTTTTGCACTGGAGCTCCGCTTAAGAGAAGGTCCGAAGTTAAAGCCATGGGGCCCGGGGAGGGGGCTGGGGGTCAGAAAGCATCTCAGGCTTAATTCTTTTAAGCCACGTAGAGACTTTGAGGGACAGGTGGACCCCGACATCCCTGTGGCCTTGTCCAAGAGCTCAGCTGGTCTTTCTGAGTCACAGCTGCGAGGGGATCGGGGCTGGGGTCGCAAGCATCGGCCCCCCAGAGGGACAGCTGAGTGCTCTGCCATTGGCTCTGGGCTGGCAGAAGCAGCCGAAGGCTCCTGACAGTGGCCAGGGACCCCTGGGTCTCCCAGGCCTGCAGATGTCTCCACGGGGGCAGAGCTCCTGGTGTATCCATGTGTGGCTGCTTCACCCCCTGTGCCACTCCAGAGCCCCGGGTGGGGGTCCCTGGTGTCAGCTTTCTGTGTTGCCTCCCATGTTTACCAGCCCCAGAAGGTTCTGGGCCCTTGGCTTCTGTTTTTAATAAAATGCCTCACGCAGCACCGCAGTCTCCTCGTGGGCTAAGCATCCCCATTTCCACGTGTGCTGTGTTGGTTTGCAGCGAGGCTGATCCAGACCCCTTCCGCCCGCCTCTGCCCTCACCCCAGCCTCTGACCAGCAGCCTGAGAGGGGCTTTCTCTGGGCTTCAGAGCAGGTGGAGCTGGAAGGGGCTGGAAAGCTCCTGCTTGCCTGTTTCTCAGGCTCCTGTGAGCCTCAGTCCTGAGACCAGAGCCGAGAGGAAGTGCATGTCCCAACCCCCCAGATCGGGACTCACTCTCAGGAGCCGGGTGGCAGGAGAGGCAACACCCCTTCGGCAATTTCCAGACCACCTGGAGCAGGGCCGAGGTGTCTCTGCGGTGCCCTGGCAGGGCTGCCAGCGTTCTCTCCAGGAACCCCGTGGCCCCTCTCCACCTCACCCCACGTTGATGCCCAGGGTCACTCTTGCTACTTGGTGGCCCCCAAACCCCCGGTGCCTGTCCTTCTTCCCTCCCCATCCCCCACCTGGTTTTGACTAATCCTGCTTCCCTCTCTGGGCCTGGCAGCCGGGATTGGGGTCTGTACATCCCTCTCTTTAAGGAACTTCCACGGGTCTCCTGAAAGCCGAATCCCCGCGGGCATGCCTGGAAGCAGGGTGTCGCTCGCTGCTGACTCGCTCCCCCAGCTCTTTCAGAAAACATTAAACTCAGAACTGTTTTTCAGCATCCTGCCTCGTCTGCTTGCTCATTCAACCGAATCCTCCACGTCTTCTCCTGTCTAGCCCAAGGCCCACTCTTGCCTGGGAGGCCCTCAGCTTTGTGCCTGGGGACGCTGGTACCCGGCAGGTGCATGCTGGCCCTGAGGTGCCTTGCTCCTCCCTCGGGTGCAGGCTCCCATGGGTGGGGCAGCCACAGCGTGTCTCAGCTGCAGCTGGACGTGTGCCCGAGTTGGGCTCCTGGGGCTTGGGTGGGTCTGGGGACTTGTGAGAGGTGGGTGGGAGGCAGGGGCTTGCTCTCCTGAGCAGGGCTGCTCTGTCCCCCAGGACGGAGAGAAACCGTGGAGGTAGCAGTTTGGCCAGGTTCTGCAGCCTAAACACTGTGTTCCTTTCCCAGGGCTGCCGTGGAAACCGAGGTTGGGGGATGGGTAGCGTGAGGCTCTAGCGGAGGGTCCTTTCTGCCCCAGGCACTCGTTGGCTTGCGGCTGCATCTCCCCAGGCTCTGGCCCCGTCTCCACGTGGCCGTCTCCTCTGTGTGTCTCAAATCATGCTCTCCCTTCCCTTACTACAACATCTGGCATTGGATTTAGAGAGTCAGGTAAATTATTTAGGGCCCACCGTAAATCCAGGATGGCCTTCTCTCTAGATCCTAACTTAATTACATCTGCAAGCACTCTATTTCCAAATAAGGTGACAGTCACAGGTAGCAGAGGTGGGGACTTGGACGTATTTTTCGGGGGATACAGTTCACCCACTGCCACGGCCTGCAGCTTGAACACACCCATCAGCAGCCCCCTGTGCTCCCCAGCGGTGCAGAGCAGATGTTCCTCCATCACTTGCCAACTGGGTTAGCAGCCAGGCCCTGGTCCAGCTGTCGGCGGGCAGCACAGTAGCTCCCTCGCCTCTCTCTGGTGCCAGCAGGCTGCAAACAGCTGATCTCCTTCCTCTGCCTGCTCCTGGGGTGAGCCCGCATGGTCATGCTTGGCCTTGGGCTAGGGCCAGACTAGAGCAGGCAGACCCTGCAATCCTGCTCTCTGTGAGAGAAGCAGCAGGCCTTCACCTCCGCGGAGTTCAGGCCACTCAGCAGAGGACGCACTTCCCAGGCAGTGGGGAGCGGGGGCTAAGCGCCCTTCCGAGAGGTGCCGAGAGGGAACCAGACAGCTTCATACAGCATACAGGTGCCCAGTGACCACCCTCTCCAGGTACAGAGTCATGTAGACCAGGTAATATCTTTTTTTTTTTTTTTTTTTTTTGAGATGGAGTCTCTCTCTGTTGTCCAGGCTGGAGTGCGGTGGCATGATCTTGGCTCACCGCAACCTCCGCCTCCTGGGTTCAAGTGATTCTCCGCCTCAGCCTCCCGAGTAGCTGGGACGACAGGCGCGCGCCACCATGCCCGACTAATTTTTTGTCTTTTTAGTAGAGACAGAGTTTCACCGTGTTAGCCAGGATGGTCTCAATCTCCTGACCTCATGATCCACCCACATCGGCCTCCCAAAGTGCTGGGATTACAGGCGTGAGCCACCGTGTAACATCTTAGAAGAAAGCCAAGGTGTACATCTTCATGACCTTGGATTAGGTAATGATTTCTTAGGTATGACACCAAAGGTACAAGCAACAAATCCCAAGCTCCCGTGGGAAAGGAGGCAGGGTCTCCTCCAGAGCCTGCCCCATGCTCCTTTTAACACCCCTCTATCTTCGGAGTTTCCCCATCCCCAATCTTTTCAGGCTGGCATTTACGCTCCACCCATTCTTCCTCCAAACATTTCCCTGGCTCCCGCTTTGTGGCAGACCGTGTGCTAGGCACTGGAGGCATAAGGACAGATAAGATACAGTCCTTGGCTTCCTGAGGACTTTCCCAGGGTTTGGACTGCCATGTGACACAGAGGCCAGCCTTCTCAGAAGAGCTGGTACCAAGTGATCTGCTCCACCCGATCCCCTCCCCATGCAGTTGATCTTGATGGGGTCCTCTCCCAGTTTCCTGTCCCAAACTGGTGAGAAATTGGCTAGCCATCTGTCAAGGGCCTGGAAAACTCAGTGGCAATACAAATATCAGTGTTTTAGCAAAACGACTTAGAAATGGCTGATGACTCAGCTAAAGGAAAGAACTGCTTATATGAAGACTTTTAGGAGCTTTTGTAGTCAGGGGTGGGGATGGGGAGGGCATGACCCAACACTAGTCCTCAAAGAGAATTTTCTGTAAGTTCCTCTACGGGAACACAGTGGCATGATGACAAGCTGATTTTATTGAGCCATAATGATTGGGATGAAATGAGACACTGTTGCCCAAATTATTTAAAAAACAGAACATAACAGAAAATAATAAATAATGCTAGATGTCCTGACATGTGAAAGAATGGAGTTGGGCCCCTACCTCACACAATATACAAAAATTAAACATGGATCAAAGGCCTAGATAGATATAAGAGCTAAAACTACAAAATTCTTTTTTTTTTTTTTGAGACGGAGTTCCGCTCTTGTTACCCAGGCTGGAGTGCAATGGCACAATCTCGGCTCACCGCATCCTCTGCCTCCTGGGTTCAGGTAATTCTCCTGCCTGAGCCTCCTGAGTAGCTAGCATTACAGGCATGAGCCATCACGCCCAGCTAATTTTTTGTATTTTTAGTAGAGACGGGGTTTCACCACGTTGACCAGGATGGTCTTGATCTTTTGACCTCGTGATCCACCCGCCTCAGCCTCTCAAAGTGCTGGGATTACAGGCGTGAGCCACTGTGCCTGGCTACAAAATTCTTAGGAGAAAGCCCAGGCATACATCTTCATGACCTTGGATTAAGTGATGATTTCTTAGGTATATCACCAAAGGTACAGGCAAAAACACCAAAAAAAAAAAAAAAAAAAAAAAAGATCAATTGCACATTATCAAATCTGTAAACTTCTGTGTTTCAAAGGACACCATCAAGCAAGTGAAAAGACAATTCACAAAATGGGAGAAAATAGTTGCCAATCATACATCTGATAAGGAGCTTGTCTCCAGAACACACAAAGAACTCTTGCAACTCAGTAATAAAAAGACAAATAATTCAATTAAAAATGGGCAAATGAGCCCACACTTCTCCAAAGGAGTTATACAAGTAGCCAATACACACATGAACAGGCGTAATCATCAGGGAAATGTGAGTCAAAAACCACAGTGAGACACAGCTCTACAACCAACGGGAAGGCTGTAGTCAAGAAGACAGATGACAATGTGTGTCGGTGAGGATACGGAGCTGCTGGAACCCTCACCCGCTGCTGCCAGGAATGCAAAATGGTGAGGCTTCTTTGGAAGAAAGCCCTGGCAGTTCCTTAAAATGCTAAGCATAGACTGACAGCTGACTCAGCCTTAACACTTCTAGGTATATACCCAAAAGACATGAAAATAGATGTCTATGAAAAGCTTATAGGTAGATGTTCATAGCAGCATTATCAGTAATAACCAAGAAGAGATCGATGTTCACAGCAGCATTATTCATAATAACAAAGATGCAGGCACAGCCCAAGTGCGCATCAGCTGACGAACAGATAAACAAATGCAGTTTATCGATTGAGTGAATATGATTCAGCAATAGAAAGGAATGAGGTACGGTCACATACGACGACATTGGTAAACCTCAGGAACGTTATCCAAAGGCAAAGAAGTCAGACACAAAAGGCCACACGTTGCATGATTTTATTTATACAAAATGTCCAGAATAATCCAAACTAAAAGTTACTGAATTGTACACTTTAAATGGACAATTCTATAGTATGTAAATAATAAACAGCGGTTATAAAAACAAACAACATACAACCAGAAAATCGGGCCGCCATGTCCTTCTCTGTTGAGGGCCAGGAAGTCCTGGAGCTTGAGTCATGACTTTCAGAGTTGGTCCCGTTGTTCTGGGCTTGGCTTACGATGGCGCTGGGCCAAAGGCCAGTGAGATGGGATGGGAGTGTCAGGGTTACTTTTTCCAAGAACATTGTTGAATAAGCATTTTTGAATCAAGTGGTGGGTGAGATCACAGAGTCCACGGGAGGCTGATACAGGTGCCAGGGGAAGCATTCCACAAGGAATGACTAATCGAAAACCATGTCTTCCTTTCTAAAGCCCCTCCACAGCTGGGGCAGGCATGGGAGGCTATGGTGACCTCAAGTGCTCCCGTATCCAGCCCCTCCTAGGGCCGAATGGAGTGAGCCCATTTCTCATTATGCAGATGGCCAGGCAAGGACAAGGAATTTCCACTTCAGAGACTTTTGCAGATAGGATTAGAAGTCCATATGGTCTGAAAAATTTGGAAACCTCCTTGTCTAAAGACAGGAAATGTTCCAACTGATCAACTGACAAAGCCACTACGTTAGTTCTCCACGAGACCTGAGATCCTGCCTACTAAGATATTCCACAAGAATGTATTAAATGCTTACCATGTAGGGGAAAAAATCTCTTACCATGTAGAATGTTTCATCACAATCAAAATATAAAATAACTATGCTTGCTATATTCCAGGAGATAAAATAAAGACAGGATTGACAATCGTGGCAGAAAACTTTAATGATGATGATGATGGTGGTGGTGATGGAGATGGTGGTGGTGGTGGTGATGATGGTGATGGTGATAGTGATGATGGTGATGATGGTGGTGGTGGGAGTGATGGTGATGGTGGTGATGGTGGTGGTGATGGTGGTGGTGATGATGGTGGTGATGGTGGTAGTGGTGAGGGTGGGGGTGGGAGTGGGGGTGGTGGTGATGGTGGCGATACAAAAAAAGCAAATCGAAACTCTAGAAGTGAAAAAGAAAACAAATTAAGAGCCAGGGCAAAATGGCAAAATCACATCTTTACCAAAAAAATACAAAAATTAGCCAGGCATGGTGGCACATGCCTGTAGTTCCAGCTACTTGGGCAGCTGAGGAAGGAGGATTGCTTGAACCTAGGAGGTGGAGGCTGCAGTGAGCTGTGATTGCACCACTGTACTCCAGTCTTCCAGCCTGGGGTACAGAGCTAGACCCTGTCAAAAAAAAAAAAAAAAAAAAAAAAG